TAGTGTCCGACCGAAAGTTCGGTTTCGGTTTCGGTCGAGTTTCGGCAAAAAAACGAGTTTCGGTTTAGTTTCGGTTTCGGCGGCAAACCTGCCGAAACTACGACCGAAACCGAAACTGCGTTCGGGAGTTCTCGCGCTCTGCTCGGTCATGTTCGGCGCGTTAAATTCCATCCAAGCGAAGTAGATTAGTAGACATAGACATAAAAAAGCATGAATAATCTTCAAAAGAAAAATGAGTCTAGTCTACTATACTTACTCAAATAAACATCTCACCTATTTTAAGTATTTTTAAGGCGCAATTAAAGTATTTCCTTAAATGAGGGGTTGTTATGTTGATTTTGATTTGATTATCAATGAAATAAATGATGAAAATGTCAAAGACTGCAGAGCTATGTGATTTAAAGATAAAAAAATAAAACTGACTGATTATAATAACGTTTTCTTTATTTTTCTCTCAAAACATGATCCTTATAAGGAAGTTTCGGTTTCGGTTTCGGCCGAAACTTAGATCGTTGCCGAAATTCGGTTTCGGTTTCGGTCGTAAAAACCAGTTTCGGTCGGACACTAATAGTAACTATTAACATCTTTTCCTTTCTTTTCCTTTATTATTGAAAATGTTTCATCGAGAATACACCATTGAAAGTTTAAACAATTCAAATTGCCTGAAATATCCGGAATGCACGGAATTTCTTCTTGTCATCTCTTTTTATACAATGTATAAATAAAATCAGAAATTAATGAATTATAAACGTGGTGTGTAGATATATAAATGTAACAAACTTCTTTTTTACAGCTACTCGTGGAAGCAACCCGTCACTACAACAACAGCAACCTGTTCAATGCGACAGGAAACCATTTTTAAGTCCACCCCCTTCGATTCCGACGTCTTTGCCATCGCCCCCTGCAGCTAACACCCCTCATTCTTTTTACGAACAACACGTAAAGTACAGTATGTAACAGTTAATAAATAAGTGATTGCTAAAACACCAAAGACTACATTAAACAGGAAGTTAGTAGATTAACTTTATAAGTGTGCAATTTTCATCAGTAAAATTGGTAAAATCACAGCGGTGAGTACAGATTGTATAGTTTTATAGGTAGGTATACAAATACATGAAGCTACTAATCCAGTCAAATGAGGGAAATGACTTAAGAATACTTTATAATGGAGAAAACGATTGAAACACGGACCATTTTATCGGAAATTTCGTGAGGAACACGAAATATGTAAATGAAAATTATTCGCCCAGCATCGGGAGGGAGAAAATCCGCAAAAACACTTGCAAATTCGATTATCTCGCGAAATATGGAAAAAAAGTTTTAGTAAAAGTTTTTTACAATGCCATTTTTATTCATATCTCTCATGGAACAAAAGTTTTGCTCGCCCAATGACAAAGAGGCCTCAAAATACGCGGAAATTTCCAAAAAAATTCAAAATGATTATTAAAAATTTAAAATTGATAATTTAATCGATTCGTAACCAGTCTTAGGAGTGACGACCTTATGATGATGATGGTCTTTCACTTCTATTTTCTCATTTTTCTCACCCCAAACGCCACCCACTCATTCTCACGATTCCTAAAGGTCACTTACGTATGTCCATACGAGTTACGTACATTAGCACTTGTCCCGTTTTGCCCTGGTCTCCCATAATTGAAAGTAAATCTTATAAAAATCCAATTGTCTCGTTCCGTTACGTAGATAAGTAGGTAGATATTTCGGACTCATTTATTTTTATGCATCCTGTCGTTTCTGAAAAAGTTTCACTGCTGACTATACATAAAGGGAGTTGTGACAGGGAAGCGACGGAAATAAAAAAGTTTTACAGTCTAAATCGATGAAAAGAAGTAGGGAAAGTTTCGAAGCTCTCTCTTTTTTCGGCAATAAAAACTTCAGCGGCACTTGAATCAAAAGCACATAATTACGGGTCATAAATGCGACAGAATTGCGCTAGAAATCTCGCAAACGGCCCCTGGCTGTACATTTACATTGGAAAGGAAGTTCCATTTAGCCAAAAGCGGGCGCGTCTTCTTGCTATGCCGGTTGAAAATAACGCCCATAAATTAAAGACGAGAAAGACGGGCACGAAGCACCGTCAGGGGTACCGTACATTACTTCTCCGAGACACAATCGCATCTTCACATCTGAGCACTTCTATTATTTATTGTTTTCAAATGTTGTTGCTCATTTAGAACACAAATTGTACCATTTACTTGTTTTTTTGAGCAACTACATGCACTTTACGTCTCGAGATAAAAATGTTCAGTCTCCCAAAGTCTCTGAGAGCGAGACTCGAGTCTCTGTCTCTCATCGAGTCTCTCTGGTGTCGCTGAGAGAGACTGTCGAGAGACTGTCAAAAAACTGTTTACCGTCTCTGAACGAGACACTCGAGTCCCTCATAGAGAGATCCTCATTTCGTATCCAGTCTCTGAACGAGAAACTCGAATCTCTGAACAAGAGACTCAAATCTCTCAATTTTTCAGTTCTATTCATTCAATCTCTCTGTTAGAGACTCGAATCTCTGAACGAGAGACTCAAATCTCTGAACGAGGCNTTTTAATAATTATTTTGAATTTTTTAAAAATTTCCGCGAATCTTGAAGCCTCTTTACCATTGGGCGCGCATACTTTTTGTTCTGTGAGAGATATGAAAAAAGTCATCGATACTTTTTTTGCAAAATGGCATTGTGAAAAACTTTTCTTGAAATTTTTTTTCCATATCGTCCATATTTCGCGAGATAATCGAATTTGCAATTGTTTTTGCGGATTTTCTCCCCCCCACATGCCGGGCAAACAATTTTTATTTACGTATTCGTGTTTCTCGCGAAATTTCCGATAAAGTGACCCGTGTTTCAACCATTTTCTCCATTATAAGGTACATTTCAGCCATTTCCTTCGTTTGACTGAACTATACTGGTAGCGAAACAATTGTCATCAATTCAAAATAAATGCTCAGGGGCGGATTGTGAATTTATGGAGCCCTGGGCTAATACTACCTAGGAGCTTACCTAATTACTCAACTAATTGCCATTAAAAAAATAAACAGGACAATAAAATATTTTAACAAAATTCTAACAATAAGAAAGTCAATTTGTCACTTTGACGACGGGCGATAAGCGACGGGATTACACCCGTAACACACGCGAGAAAATATGCCGACCGAAAACAAGCGACGGGGAATTCCCCGTTCCGTTCGACAGACGCGCACACGAGTTAATTGATCGTAGGGTTGCCAACCTTATGATCAGATTTTTTTTAATTTCAGGTATTTTTTTTTCTTCATAATATCGTCTATTGTTTTTAATTGAGGCTGAGGGCCTTTTGTAGCCACGGGGCTCTGGGCTGCAGCCCAAAAAGCCCTCAAGTAGATCCGCCCCTGTATATGCTAAAAATTTTCATTTTCAAGTTTTATTTATTTTATATATCTAAATTGGTAAAGGTTTTCGCGACTAGTAACTGATGTTGTTCTGACTTAGTCCTTTAGAATCGAATCAGGATAGCATCAGGGTGGTATTTCATTTTTTACTTCTCTTATATTGCTATAAGGGGACATTTAAATTCTGGACAACATAAACAAAAAAACATATTTTTAAAGGCCATAAGACAATAATAATAGTGATTAGGTCTCAGACGGATATCTAAATCATTTTGGTTTTTAAATAAATTGAAAAAAAAATAAATAAAATTTTTTTTTAAAAAAGGACAACCGATTTGAATGAGATTTAGACGCATTACAGATCCATACAAACGACATATTCAGATAAAATGACAGCTCAAAATATTTATCATGATCATTAGAAACAGGCAATTTTTCGCGAAATTGTTTTTTTATAAACAACTGAAAAAATTATAGAGAAAAACATAATAGCCTGTTTCAAATATTTTGAGCTGTTATTTTTTCCGAGTATGGGTCTATTATGCGTCCAAATTTTATTCAAATCTGTTAGTCGTTTTTGAGAAAAAAATATTTTAGGATTTTTGGTTTTTCCAATTTATTCAAAAACCAAAACAGGTAGAGGCCGTTCTGTGGTCTTTATTCAACTTATATTCATATATATTTATAGCGTTTGCATCCATTTTGATTGGTTTTTTGTTGCATTTTATTTTATTTATGTATGTATCATTTACTTGCGTTATTATCTTTATAAAGCCGATGTACCTACTGTATTAGAATTTATTTCTTAAGAAAATGACTTCTTTATAAATCGATTTTTTTCATATTGTAAAACTATTAAAATACTTATTT